GGATAGAGACGTCGTCAGCGTAGAGTGAAATTGTGAGATCGTCCGGAAGTAGTTTCGCCAGTTCGTCGATATAAAAAAGGAAGAGGATGGGTGCCAGGACCGAACCTTGTGGGAGACCTTGGTTCATTTTCCTGCTATTACTCAGTATTCTATTGAATCGGACTCTGGCTTGACGATTTTGAAGGAAGTCATTCAACCATAAAACGTATGTATCTGGGATACCTCTGTCTAGGAGGGTGAGGAGTAGGCGTTCTCGCCAGACCGTGTCGTATGCCTTTGAAAAATCGAGGAGGACGAGTAGCGATTTCTCCTTCTTTTGGAAGCCATCGGATATCTTCTGCGTAATTCTCAGAATTTGGTCTTCCACACATCTCCCCTTCCTGAATCCAGCCTGCAGTTCGGAGAACCAGCCGTTCCGCTCGGCCATGTCGTACAGTCGTTCAGACCGATAAGCCTCACATCCTGTGTCATCAACGTTATGGAGAGAATGGTATCTGAACGACTGTTGTTGTTGTTGTTGTTGTTATTGTTGTTGTTGCTGTTATTGCTGTTGTTGTTGTTGTTGTTGTTATTGCTGTTATTGCTGTTGTTGTTGTTGTTATTATTGCTATTATAGCTGTTGTTGTTTCTGTTATTGCTGTTGTTGTTGTTGTTATTATTGCTATTATAGCTGTTGTTGTTTCTGTTATTGCTGTTGTTATTTCTGTTGTTGCTGTTAGTGCTGTTGTTATTGTTATTGCTTTCATAACTGTTGTTGTTGTTGTTGTTTTACCTAAGTAACGATGGACGTACACAACGATCAATGAACAGTTGTGAGGCTGAATTATTTAAGAGGGTGGTTAGCGGGTGCTCCGGTGTGAGTTGCTCCTTCTGTCTTATCAAACATCTATCGTCCTGATCTCTCCGCCTCCTTTTTTATGTTTGTTACTCTCTTGTATCACTTCTAATTGTCGGCACTTTTAGGACCTTATTGTGTTGCAAGTGCCGTAAAACACTTAGATCTACTAAAACTAAATTAGAAGAAAAAACAACAGATGTTTTTTCTCTCTGTAGTCAGATAAACAGACGAACAACCCTTCTGTGTATTCGTTTTTGTTTTGTAGGAGCTCAATATACAAACAAACTAACACACATATACACACGGAGAAGCTCACATTGTGGGTGGTTGGCGGGTGCTCTGGTGTGGTTTGCTCCTTCTTTCCTATCAAACATCAATCGTCCTTATCTCCCCTTCTTCCTTTTTATGTTTGTTACTCTCTTGAGCCCAATCCTGAAAAATAAAAACATCCCAATGAACACCAAAATGAAAGTTCTGAAATGTTTGGTCAAAACTTCCACATGTATATGGCTGTGAACGCTGGACAATCTCAAAGACAGTGAAAATAAAATGGAAGCAACAGACATGTGGTTTCTTTGGAGACTGCGAAGAGTATCGTGGAAGGAAAAGAAATCA